CTACTCGTCAGTGACTAGTCGTCAGCGACTAGTCGACAATGACTACTCGTCAGTGACTAGTCGACAGCGACTACTCGTCAGTGACTAGTCGACAATGACTACTCGTCAGCGATTAGTCGACAGCCATTAGTCGTCAGCGACTAGTCGACAGCAATTACTCGTCAGTGACTAGTCGACAGCGATTACTCGTCAGTGACTAGTCGACAACAACTACTCATCAGTGACTAGTCGACAGCGACTAGTCGACAGTGACTAGTCGACAGCAACTACTCATCAGTGACTAGTCGTCAACGACTAGTCGACAGCGACTAGTCGACAGCGATTACTCGTCAGTGACTAGTCGACAGCAACTACTCATCAGTGACTAGTCGTCAACGACTAGTCGACAGCGACTAGTCGACAATGACTACTCGTCAGCGACTAGTCGCCAGCGACTAGTCGGCAGTGCCTAGGCGACAGCAACTACTCATCAGTGACTAGTCGTCAACGACTAGTCGACAGCGACTAGTCGACAGCGACTAGTCGACAGCGACTAGTCGACAACAACTACTCATCAGTGACTACTCGTCAGCGACTAGTCGACAACGACTGGTCGACAGCGACTTGTCGACAGCGCGTAACAAGGTTTTTCCATGCTTTGAAAACCTGACGAATTATCTCGACGAATCTGGTACACGAGCTCGACCGACTCGTACGAACGTTACGAGGATGGGGGAACGAAGGATGGACCGCTGGAGCGATTTACCTCTTTTACCTGGGCTGATTTTGAACGGGGATCGGCGACCTGGACGGTCTCGTCGGGAGGCAGCCGCCAGGAGTTCCTCTCGATGTTGACGCTGGCGTTCATAGCGGCCTCCTCCTCCGCCTCCCGTGTCCTTCGTCGTTCTTAGCTGCCTCGTCCTCGCGCCAACGATTCCCCGAGGTCCCCAGGGTAACCCCCGGGCCACTCCTGGGGCCGAGGTCCTACACCACCAATCCACAGTTCCTCACCTGGAACGGGAGGGAGGGGGTTTCAGTTAAGATTGGTTCGATTTGTCCGGCTCGAAACGGATTGTTTGCGAAGTTGTGTCAAGTTTGGTTTCGGTGAAGGGGAAAAAGGTATTCGAAGCCACGTGGACAAACAAAATATCTTTCTTCTCGATGTATGTGAGTCTTGACCAATGATTTTTGCTTTGTTTTGTAAATTCGAATTAAAATTTTCTTTTTTCTTTTTTTGGTATTTTTTGGTCGATCGAAAAGTTATCGTAATTTGATATTTCCTTTTTTTTCGATCAAAATTACGAGATTACATAAACTATACGAAATATAAAACGTTGTATCTTCGACAAGGTAAAACGATGCGATTTCATCCAGTATTACTCAAGTACTGATCAAAGATCGAGGAATGTCAAGAAAATGTTGATTTCGATCGAATCAATAAAAAAGAATCGAAGATTCGGAATAAAATCTTATTCCAAGTCGATCGAACGAATCGGTTTCCACGGCGATTAATATCGATTTGATTAGCTCTATAGAAGAAGGTTAAGGACGATTCTCATGAAATGTCATGGTAATTTGCGCGGCCGATGTTTCATCAGCTTTTCTCCTATCCTCGATAGTCTTATCCATTGAACACGTTCACAATTATTATTTATAGCAATTGATGATTTTCATCCCATCAACAACAAATATTCCAAATATTCTTCGAATTTTTACCTCTTTCGCCCCTAAAAATTTCCTCTTAACGTTTAATTCTGTTATTGCCATAATCGTGTTGATCGACGAAGAAAAAGTATGAATGGGAAGGTGGAATCATTGACGAGACGGGAACAAAGGATAATTACGAATTCACCGGGGAATTAAGCCGAATAAAGGATTACACCCTATCCCCCTCCCCCCAGCCTGTCCACCGTCCCCTATGAATAATTTAATTAAAGTCGAAATTTGCCCGCGCAGGGGAAACCATCAGTTTATTTTCGATTTAAATTTCAAATAGGTTCCGCGCGGCGGACATGCAAATTTCGAGAGGCGAAAGGCATCGCGCGAGAACGAAGAAGCGGGGCCAATTAACAGCGGCCCTGTTGTTACGGTTACTTTGCGCCTTTAACTCGCCTCCTCTATCCGTAACGCGGTTACGAGAGTTTAAAATCGAGAGTTTCAAATTTCCCGCCTTCGAAAGCACTTCGCTTCGACGCACTCGGCGAATTTTCCACGAGTTTCTCCCCAACGCGTACGAAGTACGCGTTGGCCCAAATGCACCGATCCCGCGAGTCCTTGAAAACTTGCATCGCATCCTCTCGAGCATTTTGACGAAAGTTCTGGAAAATCGTCCGAACTTAACAGCTTAAGTTTAAAGTTACGGGTCTCGAGGGGCAGACGAGAGAAACTAGGCTCGACATCTTCGTTCTCTACACTATTTGTTACTCCCGTGTCATAGACATTCGACATCAAGTAGAATGAGATACTCCCCGTGATACGAGATTTTTAAATTCAGCCAAGAATATGGATTTCAGAGGTTGGAAGCGTGAAATCGTAGAATCTAGTCTTTGTTCCCTCTCACTCCGAATTTTCAAATTCCATGAAACTTAATATACCCTATATATATATATTAGAGAAACTCGACACGTGAACCACTAAACTCCTCTGTCGAATTCTCTGCCAAACGACCATCAAATTACTCTCTCTCTCTCTCTCTCTTTCTCCAATCGACACCCAAATTCGGGGAATTCGATATCGCCAACCGGTTGCACGACTCGATTTCTCTTCTTGAAAATCCCCAACCTCTTTCGAAGCTTCGAATTAGATCCATCGTGTGGAAAATTATTGGCCAGTTCGCGCTTCGTAACTGTGCGCGAAACACAGATCGCGATAACGATTCGGTCAGGCGGGAATTTATGAGACGTAAAAGGAATGGACGAGTAAAGGCTTCCTTTTCTCGATCGTTTAAAAGTTCCCTTGAATTTTAAAAAAAAAAAATTGCACCTATTTTATTACATTGCGCGCCACACTTTTATTCCTGTTGTACACGCGGCGTGATTTTTGCCACCGTAACGCATTTTACTCGTCCCTCTTTGATGCCTACGTATCAACGTTTTCATTCGTTCATTTATTCCTCTTTGATGTCTTTATCGTTCTATTCGTGAAATGCTATTTTTCCATGTTGACTTCGTCCATTTATTTTGAATATAGTTTCGTTCGATTTTTTTCTTTTTTTTTTTTTTTTTTTTTTGATTGGAAAGAATATAATGAAACAACAATTTAATAATTATATATATATATATATATATATACATGTATTAATGCGTTAATGAAATAGAATACGAATCGTGTTAACGAAGGCGTGCTCATTGTGCAAAGTGTCGATGGTAGGAGGGGGGGAAAAATGCTTGGAACGAATGGACGGAGAATGGCGTGCGCGGGCATTCAAGGATTCGGTTGAAAGTGGCTGAATGTCGTTTAGGAATGACTGCGCTGAATGGAAGAAAGAGAGAGAGAGAGTGAATGTGCAGCCAGTTCAAATAAGGAGCAAGAGATTGAAAGGGAAAGCAGTCAGACATCACGAGCCCAGAAAACGAAAGTTGAATTAACGTAACGTAAAAATCTAATCCAACTGCACAGATAATATAATCGATAAAAAAGAAAGAAGAAAAAAGAATTAAATTTTAAAAGAATTCGTCATATCACGCGTTTCAACGTAATAAAGCGAAACACCGCCACGTTTATCGTACACACAACGACAAACGATGTGCTTATATATATATATAAAGGATGCCGGAAACCTTGTAATCTGGACGCCGTTTTTCTATCGTTCCGCGCATCGTTGCCCTCGTAAAGAGAAATTGCATGAAAATACAGTACACGTACGACCGCATGCATCATTTCAGCCTCCCCTACGTTTCGACGTGACACGACCTCGTAAAAATCCTATCCATCCGTATCCCCTGGATTTTAATGGGAGCCGTTTTTATGGCGGAATCGGGAAATCGCACGCTGTTTCAAACCTATTCCGCTTCTTCTTCTTCTTTTTTTTTTCTTTTCCTATTTTATTTACACAATCTCTCCGCTCGTAACTTTTCGAATTGAAATTTGCTCAAAAGTAATTCTCTCCGTCGAAATATATAAAATTTTTCACCCGTGCGAATGATTAATCCAATTCGCGACAAGTTTAATAATTTTAACGAGGTAATCGTCGCCGAGGGAGAAGAATATTCTCGAAGTTTGACGCGATTCTCCTCCCCCTCCTCCCTGTAAAAAAGTTTGTCTCAGTTGTAAGAATCGCTTGTCCTTGGTACTTTAAGTTCGATACAAAAAAAAGAAAAAAAAGTTCCCATTGAAATTAGGATCCGTTGAAAAATTTTCAGAAGGGGCCTCGTCCAACTTTTTTAACGATATTATCCTCGATTGACGGTGGAGCATCGGGGAGAGGCCATTAAATCGTTCTCAACATCTTCTCGCTTTCTTCTCGATGGGGATTGAATTGGTCGAAATGTGAACAAAGAAGCGGGAAAGTTGGGTAATGAGTTGGAGCCGACGGTTGGCCGAAACGTATTTGCCCGAAGGAATCGTTTAATTACATCAACGGATGCTTCTTTTCATTCGTCGGCCGGAGGCGGATAGCATTTTCAATCCTTTCCGTCGAATCGCAGCTTCTTCAAGACGCGAGTTTAACTTTAATTAAGACTCGAAAAAAAATTTGGTCGAGCGAGGTAAGAGTCGAAGAGAAGAAGTAGAGCAGGACACTATTAGTCATACGAGTTCTTCCACGGAAGTGGAATAAAAAGATGATCGGACGAGCGAAGTAAGATTGATGACAAGTGGAATGACATGTTATTGGACATACCAAGTGAAATGAACGCGATCAGACAAATGGAAAGACGGATTCGTAGACAAAATTTAATAACTACGAATAAAGTTGCTCCGATAATTTATCGTTTTTCGCAAAACGTAATAATAATAACTGTAATGGTCGAGGTTATACGAGGCTCGGCTTATATAACAGCTCTACGAATAAATGTTATTCAAGCATTCCAATAATAAGTAATTACTTAAAGTAACTTTATTCTACTAAAAACTTTTAACTTCTCCAATGTTTTCAATGCTTCAAATAATTTTATACTCCTCAAATAAATTGAATAAATTCCATCAAAATCAATGTATAAATTTACTTGTACCGAATTTAAATCCAATCCTCCTTTTTCCAAAAACGATATTCATCCATAAGATCCATAAAATCGGAACGGATTCTACGAATTCACGATCCTCTCGATCGATCGATAATCGTTTCGAGTTCGATTGATTCGAGAATAATTAAGAGAGAAGACGAGCGGAAAAGAGAAACGACGACGAGAGAGAAGAACGGAAGGAGGACGTTGTCCTCGTGGAAGGGTTGATGCAACGTGGGTCGTGACGTCAGAAGGGGGTGTGATTACGTCAGAGTAGTGCGGCAGACGGACTCGCCCGGACGGCGGTGGGAGGGAGGAGTGAAGGAAAGAGGAGGGAAAAAGAGGTTGAAAGGGAGGGGGCTGCGAAAAGGGAATGCAGGCGCCGTGGTGGGGAAGGGGTTGACGCGAAATAAGGTCGGCCACCCCGAATTTCATTCATCGGTCACAGTCGACGATGGTGTTGCCGGGCTAACTGGATTAATCCTCCTCGTTTCGGGTTGTTCAGCCCTGTCTAAGCGACAAAACCGAAATCCGTAATGCGAATTGATGGTGGTCAGGCGTTTTACGTACGCATGCGTACGTACAAGGCTTGTTGACGACGAATTTGTTCCATGGATTCGCTTGATTCTTTTTTCTTTTTTTTTTTTTTTTTCTATTTCGTGTCGATTCTATTTCTCGATGAGAAAAAAAAATTTCGAGGTAACCGAAAATTACGTAGGTGTGAACGATATATAATAGTGACGTTGACGAAATTATGAAACGAAATTGTTGTTTACATAATTTTTGCGATAAGGAAAAATATACAGGATTTTTTAAATTAGAAGCAAGGGGGAAAAAAGTAAAAGTAGA